TATTTCCCCCTTTCTCTCTCTCTCTCTCTCTCTCTCTGTCTCTCTCTCTCTCTCTCTCTCATAATTACATGTACTCATATATGTATATATACATATATAACTTTTATCTTATTAATATTAATTATACTTTTTTACATTAAAATTATTTTTATTTTATGTGTATGAATGTTTTATGTGCATGTATGTTAGTGCACCACGTGCGTGCAATGCCCACAGACATCAGAAGATATCAGATCCTCTGAAATTGTAATTACAGATGGTTATTAGCTACCATGTGGGTGCTGGGAATCAAATCTAGTTCTTCTGCAAGAGCAGTCAGTGCTCTTAACTGCTGAATCATGTCTCTAACCCTTTAATGATATAAAGGTAATTTAATAATGAGTAAAAGGGCAACATGATAAAACACAACAGGGCCCTCATGTAGCCCAGGCTGTAGCTGAGGATGACCTTGAACTTCTGATCTTTCTGTCTCTACCTCTTAGATGCATGAGCCACCACACTAGGTTAATGCAATGCTGAAGATTGAATCCAGGGTTTCCTGTATGCTAGATAAGTACTCTACCAACTGAGCTATAGCCCCAGTCCCCACATAATCTTAAACTTTCCAGGTCTAATATATTTGTCACCAAAAATACATAGAAGAGAAGCTACACTGTTAACACTGAGGGTCCCTAAGGACAGACTAAAAAAATATCAGAGGGGTCAGGATTAACCGTAGCAGAGGGCAAGGATAAAGGAATGCATACTCTGCTCATGAGCTGATCTTGCAGAAAAACAGCCTTTAATCTGAGAAGCAAAAGGGTCATCTCAAGGCCTAGACTTGAAAGTCAGGAAACCTCAGACTTATACCTGATAAACTGTATGTGGTATAAAACAATACTTTCATTTGGTAGTGACTTCGCTTCTAAATAGCAAAATTACTTCTCATTGATGTGATGTTCCAAATATAGAAACAAGAGGAATTAAAAATAATTTCAGTGTGTCAAGCTAAATTTTGCAGAAAAAGACAAGGTACATTTAACTTCCTCATCCAAGAAAGCTTGCCTTTTGCAAATCAGAAGCCATGTTAATTAAGCTAAAAGAGACGTGTCAGGCACAGAGTGAAGCACTACAAGCCTTCCATTCCTCTCCCCTGAGTACTCCCAGCCCTGCACTCCTTCTTTTGGACTCTATGTTAAGCTTTTCAGGCTTGCCGGCTTTTTAAAAAAGATGTTAGGGTTTCTCTTTCTCTTCTGGTCCCAGGTGCTTCTGGAACTGCGGGCTCCCATCAGGGTGGCGGCAGAGGTGGCCCAGGCTGGGGAACCCCAGCCCTGATCTGTTTTTCCTACAGGTGCAGACATGGCCAAGTCCAAAAACTATACCACACAGAACCAGTCTTGAAAATGGCACAGAAATGGCATGAAGAAACCACGGTCACAAATATATGAATCTCCCAAGGGGGCTGACCCCAAGTTCCTGAGAAACATGTGTTTTGCCAAGAAGCACAACAGGAAGGGCCTGAAGAAGGTGCAGGCCAACAACATGAAAGTCATAACGCTGAGACTGTCCAGGCCCTTGTGAAGCCCAAGAAGGTTAAGCCCAAGATACCAAAGGGTCTCCACAGCAAGCTCCGCCGACTGCTTTCATGGCCCACCTGAAGCTTAGGAAGCGGATTCGTGACTACATGGGTCGTAGGCTTTGCCAACCAAAGGCCAAGGCTGGGGCTGCAGCTCCAGCTAAGGCTCAGGCTCCAACTCCAGCTCAGGCTCCCAAAGGTGCCCAGGCCCCTGTGAAGGCCCCATAATAAAAGTCTCTGTCTGTCAATGTGAAAACAGACTGACTGTTGTGACCTCCCTCCCGACTGTTTGCAGAGGGCTGGTATCCTGTGCTGTTTTTACAAATAATCTTGAGGGCAAGAGCTGTTTAAAAAAAAAAAGAAAATATTTTATTATTTTTATTTATGTGTAAGTGTGTGCCCATGTGAGATCTATGTGTACCCTGTGAGTGCAGGTGCCCTCAGAGGCCAGGAGGTATGGATCCCCTGGAACTGTGGTTACAGGCAGTTGTGAGGTGCCTGAGGAGGGTTCCGGGAACTGAACCAGGGTCCTCTGCAAAAGCAGTAAGTACTTTTAATCACTGAGTCATCTCTCCAGCCCCTAGGCTTAACTTCTTAACCAGGAGTCAAGATAAGATCCATAGTTCTAGCCCAGCCTGACTTTGAGGTTCAAATGACCCAAAGCTAAAAAGGTCAGGGCTAGTGTCTTTTGGAGACTCTCTTAGGAATCTCTAGGATTGCTAAGGCAGTTTAATTTCAAATTCAGTTCAGAACACATCAGACCAGTTTTTTTTAGTGCTGGCTTCAATAGAAAACCTTGCTATTTATTTATTTATTTATTTATTTATTTAATTTTATTATTTGTTGGTTTGAGACAGTGTCTCCCTGTAATCCCAGATGGGTTAGAACTCACTATGTAGACCAGGCTGGCCTCCAACTTACAGAATCTGCTTGCCTCTGCCTCCCAAGTGATAGGATTAAAGGCATGTACCACCATGCCCAGCTATTTATTTATATGTGTATGAATGTTTTGCCTGCATGCATGCAAGTGTACCCGTGTTGTGCAGTGCCTGTGAAGACCAGAAGAAGGCATCAGATTCTCTGGAACTGAAGTTACAGATGCTTTGTTAGCTGGCATGTGGGTGCTAGGAAACCAAACTCTGGTCCTCTGCAAAAGCACTAGTGCTCTTAACCTCTGAGCAATGCATTTCTCTAGCCCTCAGTGTGCTTAACCTCTGAGCCATCTCTTCAGCTTTCACTGTCTTCCAACACTGATTAGCAAGGCAGTCTACAGAACAGAGGGAGAAGCTAAGACTGAGTATGGGGTAATATGTAAACTCATAAAAAAAATCTTGAGGATTAACATTAAAATCCAATATTCTTTTCCTTTCACTGACTAGGGGTTGAAGAAGTTTGCTAAGTCTCAGTTCCTCACCCCCATGTATGTATGTATGTATATATGTATATATGTATGTAGGTGGAGTGTGTATGACCATGCATGAGCATGCTTATATACAACTTAAGGAATCAAGACTATGCCTTTAGTGTCATGCTAAAAGAACAATTATGATACTAATAACACATCTTGTAAGTTCTATTTTGATGCAATGTTTGAGTCATCACAAAACTAGACGGATCACAAACCTCAGTCTGTGGAGCACTATCGGTCTCTGTGTTTATACAGAACTATGTGGATTTAACCAAGTCGATTTATGAAAGTGGTTTCTGAGACAGGGTCTCTCTGTAGCCGCAGCTGGCCTGGAACTCACTATGTAGACCAGGCTGGTCTTGAACTCACAGAGATCCACCTGCCTCTGCCTCCTAAGTGCTAGGATCAAAAGCATGCATCAGCACACTCAGCTAAATTGCTTCCTTTTAAACTTGTTCTCCTGAGAACTTTTATAAACAATAAAATGGGACTGTCTTGTATTTATCTCTTATTTGTTACATCAAAATTATTGCTTCACTATCATACATTAGTAAGTAGCAACACTGCTAGCAAAATCATACAAGTATTTCCAGGGAAGAAAGGTTAACATTGGTTAAGTGTGGCTATAGCACGGGGTTAGTGGAACAATAACACTGGGTTTAGGATAAGGTGAGGAACTGCTATGCTGAGACCAAAACTTAGCTGCAGCTGATAGGCTTTGAAGTTCACGATTACTTATAAAGTACAGTTAATAATTGTCAGTGTTGAAGATGGACAAGGATGCCTTTGTGAGAAAATACTATGAACAAACTAAACACCACTAAAAACCTAAGGTATTACCATCATCCTCATTGTCTTGGTGTCCCTGAGGACCTTCCAGACTTCAGCCAGGTGTAAAATTTTTTAAAAGAACTCATTGTTCTTTTAAAAGGCGGCAGTGGTACATGCTTTTAATCCCAGCACTTGGGACACAGAGGCAGGCAGATCTCTATGAGTTCGAGGTCAGCCTGGTCTACACACTAAGTTCCAGGCCAGCTGGAGCTATAGGGAGACCCTATCTCAGAAAGACAAAACAAAGAGGGCTGGAGAGATGGCTCAGCGGTTAAGAGCACTGGCTGTTCTCTCAGAGGACCCGGGTTTGACCCCAAGCAACCACATGGTGGATAACAACCATCTGTTACTCCAGTTCCAGGGGATCCAACTCCCTCTTCTGACCTCTTGGGCACTGCATGACACAGGTGCACTTACATACATGCAGACAACACACTCATACACATAAAATTTAATTAAATTAAAAAAAAGATTCTTCACATCTCTCCAGCCATGGTGGTGCACACCTTTAATCCCAGCACTTGAGAGGCAGAGGCAGGTAGATCTCTGTGAGTTTGAGGACAGCCTGGTCTACACAGTGAGACCGTCTCAAAAAACAAACCAGCAGCAGCAGCAACAACAACAACACAAGGTTCCTCAATCTCTGATGCTCAGCTTACCTCGATGTAGAGGAAGACTGTTCAGTTCCTGAGATGTGAATTCAGAGGTACAAACAAATAGCCTCTCTCCCTCCTTCAGACTGGGAATGGTTACAACTTCCACAAAACTACTGGGAAACTGTCCTGAAAAGTAAAGCAAACATATTAAGCACTGAGCTTTTAATAGTAAAATTTCTTTTTCTCTCTGTATACACAGACAAAAATTTTTGAGTCTGTTTACAGACCATGAATTGAAAACTGACTTAATGCTAATAATTGAAGAACTTACTGTAGAAAAAGTACAAGGCACAAAACTAGATGCGAACAGAGGCCAGAGAATGTAATTCAAAAAGGGTTTATTGGGACAGTGAGATGGCTCAGCAGGTAAAGGCTCTTGCTGCCAAGCCTGGTGACCCATGTTCCAGCCTCATAACCCACATGATATGAGGTGAGATCTGAATCCTGAAAACTGTTCTCCAACTGCCACACCCCTCAACACATAACACAATAAATAGTTAATAAATAAATAAATGTGATGTTTTAAAAAGCATTTATCATTGCTACCCTAGCAAGGTATACTGCAGATAGAAACATGAATTTGTCAGTCTTGGTCTTCAAAGATCTGAAAATCTTCTTAGACATAAGGGATAACACAATCTTAAAATCCCATGTTACAACATAGTCCAAAAATTGCTATTGAGGATCACAGAAGGTAAATAATGGGCCAGGAAGAACATGAACATTTAAAAAAATATTTTATTTATTATTTTTATTTTATGTGTATGTGTGTATTGCCTGCATGTAGGTAAGTGCACACATGTCATGCAATGCCCGCAGAGGACAGAAGGGGCTGTCGGATCCCCTGGAACTGGAGTTACGGACAGTTGTTAGCTGCCATGTGGGTGCTGGAATTCAAACCCGGGTCTTCTGCAAGAACAACCAGTGTTCTTAACCACTAAGCCATTTCTCCAGCCCCAGAACACGAAAATTTTTATGAATAAGAGCATTTCAGTCTGAAGATGAGCAGGGTTTCTACAGGTGATTGTAGAAAGACAGAGCCTAGGGCCTGCCAGTCAGAGGGACTAAGAACAAGAAATGTCCCTTGAATCTGACCACTTATATGCACACCTACCACCTTGGTTTAAGCCATCATCTCCTGCCACCTGGGTGATGGCAACAATCTTTCCGCTGGCCTTCCTACCTTTGGTTTTATCCCTTCCCAGCATCTTAGAAGAATAGTGAGATTTCTAAGATACAGATCTGACCATGTTGAAAGCACTGTCTCAGTTTCCTACCTCCTTTCCTTCCCTGACACCCATGTCCAGTGTGATCAGCTTCTACTCTCCAGCATCACCTGACCCCTCAACCACTTGATGCCATACTGATGTCTCCTCAGCCCCTCTGAGTTCACTTTCACTGCAGGGCCTCTAAGCAAGCAACTCTCCCTGACTTGCTAACACTTAGTCATCAGTTTTCTCTCAGCAGAGATATCACTTCTACCAGGAAATAATCTGTTTATCTCCCCAAAGTGGGTAAGTGCCCACAGCACCTGTTCTCAGTACTGTATCACATCCGCCAACCCAGATTTATACATTGTGTGGTGGGAAAATCTGCCCTTCCCTACAATGATTAAGGAAAGAAATCTATGTTAGTAAGTATTTTACAAATCAAAGGAAGCTAACCAGAAGCACAAATATGGGAGACATGAGCATCCAGGGTAGAGGGTAGCTTTAACTGGCTTCTGCCAACTAGTCTAGAAAGGAGCAAATAGGATAAACCAGGCTCCCCTGAAAGAAGGAACGATGGAATAGGAACCGCTAAAGGAAGCAGCCAGAGGAGGTGAGGTGGGGCACCTTACATCCCTCAGAGGCAAGCCTGGTTGTGAGAAGCAGTGACCGATAACGGGTTCTGGAGAGAAGAATACGGGATATCTCGAGAAGGGAAATAACAGAACTGAAAGCACTGGGAAGGGAAAGAGAAAGACAAGGTAGAAAACTAGGTGGGGCAGCAGGTTCTAACATTCAGCCTCCTGGAGGAATCACTAAGGATCGAGATGGTGCAAGGGCAGAATCTCTCCCCACAGGCTGGAGCCTGGTGTGAATACAGAAGGATTCGGAAGTGACTCACTTGGGCTTCCATCAAACCTTTACCTGTAACATGGACAGAAAGGAGAGCTGTGGTCTGCTGTGTGCAAGGGATCATAGGCCTCTCACCTGTAACATCTTCCTTCTTCCCTAGAAGCCAAAATTCATCCACCACTGCCAACACCTCAATAATGTCTCCCACGAAGAGTGGCAGCTCCTCTGAGACACTAGGGCAGAAGTCAAAGATGGCACGGACCACTGAACCGGCTTCCATGATTCATGACCTGCACAGGAAGGACACTGGCATTTAAGAGAGATTTCTTCAGACATTTTCATTTGATTCTCAAAACAACTCTAGAATTGAAAAACAAAAACAAAAAAAAATCCCAGAACAAACAACAAACCAAGAATACACCAAAACCACAGAGTTAGAGAAAAGATTCAAGTCAGAAAATATAGGCTTTCCAAAAATGCCTGAAACAGATGGTAAGGAGACAAATATTTTAACATTTTTTTTTTGAAGCAGGGTCTCCCTGTAGCCCCTGCTGTCCTGGAACTCACTATGTAGACCAGGCTGGCCTTGAACTCACAGAGATCTGCCTGCCTCTGCCTCCCAAGTGCTGGGACTATAGGCGTGCACCACCACACCTAGCACACTTTAACATTTTTAAGGTTCCAGGCAATGTAGTATTTTTAAGATATGGTATTTAAAAATCAGACACTTTACACATGGCATTTCATCAATTCCTCATAATTATCATAAAGGTTAGGACAGTGAGGATCAGGATAGTTGGAAAATCTAATTTGTCAAAGATCAGAGAGCTCAAAGCAACAAGTCCAGGCCTCATACTGAGGCACTCCCTGCAAAGCAATGGAACATAACCTGCCAAACAGCAGCAGCGCCATCCTCACAGCCCAAGATCTAAAACAAGGACAAACAGAACTCCATGAGAAAACGCTGGGTGGATGGTGTCTCCAGTGACATTAGTATCTGCCTGATCAAACATTTGTTTCCAGTTTGAAGAAGCCTGTGGCCCAGCCTGCAGGTCTATGCTGCAATGGATGATGGGTCCATGACCCTGGCATATACAGCTGGAGAGCTAAGGATGTTTAAGAGCTAAGTGAGGACATGAGGGGCATGTCCACTGGAGAATTCTCAGCCATGATCAGAGCTACATTCTTCTCTGTCTTTACAGGGAAGAGCTGAAGAGCTCCAGGGTGGTCAGACCCAAAGTTTTTCTTTATTCCCTTGAAAGACTCATTTGGTGTTGGTGAAGACAAAGATTCTTTCATTCTTTCATTCAACTTTAACCACATCAAAAAACACCAAGTCAGGCCAGTGAGGTGGCTCAGCTGTTAAAGGTGCTTACCACTAAGCCTGACAACCTGAGTTTGATCCCTGGGACCCACATGATAGAAAAAGGAGTCAAGTCCAGCAAGTTGTCCTCTGACTTCCACACATGTGCTGTGGTACTCTCTGGTTCACACATATACACATACACATACACATACACAAAAAAATAGTATATGTAAATATTTTTAAAAGTACCAGTGTCTAATGAGAGGAAAAAGATAGCTACAACTGTTTTGCTGACATGAAAAAAATATAGTAGGCATCCAATAAATATTCCAGTATATTAATGATATTTATTTATTTATTTTAATTAATTATTTTTATGTGTATGAGTATTTTGCCTGCATGGTTGTAAGTACATCCATGTTGTGCAATGCCCATGGAGGCCAGAAGAGGGTATCATATCTCCTGGAACTGCAATTATGGATAGATGTGGGTGCTGAGAATTGAACCCAGGTCCTCTGCAAGAGCAACCAGGGCTCTTAACTACTGAGCCATCTCTCTAGTCCCATTAATATTTTAATCTGTCACACAATTAAACAGTGTACATCTAGTTGGGTAAAAGTAACCTGGGATTCTTTTTCCCTCTATTCATGCCTGCGGGCTACAGCAGAAAAGAGAAATGGCTCCTATGTCTCCCACCCTTCTTACCACAGGCTATTTTTTTTTCTCTCTTTTGCAGTGCAATTGATAAAACCAGGACCTCCAGTACTAGGCAAGTGCTCTACCTCTAAGCAAGTATTTAAAATTCCAACTACAAATACTCCCGGGACAGGCACAGTAGCACACACTTTTAATCCCAGCATTTGGGAGGCAGAGGAAGGTGGAGCTCTGTGAGTTTAAGGCCAGCCTGGTCTATATAGTTCCAGGCCAACCAGGGCTACACAGTGAGACCCTGTCGCAAAATAAACAAATAAATATATCTTGATATAAATAAACAAATAAATATATCTGGCATAATGTCCATGCCAGGCACTAGGGCTTCTGCAGTGACAAGGACCAAAATTCAAATCCCAGCTTGTTCACCCTGGAGGCATCGCTCAAATGCTGTCTTCAGTTTCAATGACCTGAGAAACAGGAGATATCAATAGTTTCACAGTAATCACCATGAGGATTATAATGATAAAAATAATGACAACAATGCCTAATATTTACTGAGTAGTTACTATGTGCCACGCAGTGAACTATGCACTGCCCTCACTGGTTCCTCACTGTGTATTATTGGTTCCCATTTGAAAGATGAGGACACAGGCTCAGAGAAGTGATGGAATCTGTCTAAGGTCACATAGTAAGTCGGAGACAGAATGGGAGTCCAAATTTGTCTGTCATCAAAGCCTTACCCAGTGTGCTAACTGTGTGAAATTGCCTAGGACATGACTGGCACAGCAGCTGCTCAATAAACATTCGTGCGTATTACAAATCATTTCCATAAATCAACTACAATTCAAATTTGAGTCACTGTATAAACACTATAGACCTTCCTATTTCAACATGTCAAAACGTGGTTAATTTTGACCATGTTTAAAAATAGGCACATGAAGCCATATGTGACAGCATATGCCTATAACCCCAGCATTTGAGAGCCTGAAACAGGAGGACTGTGAGAGTCGATGTAGCCCAGGCTGGTCTAGAACTATCTTAAAAAAGCAAAACAAGACAAGTCATATTACACCTTCGGGATTTCTTCCACAGAAGGTTCCAAGCATGATTTATTCAGGCTGGTGGATGCAAGTTCATTACTATGGCCACACATTACTGTGTTGCGTTGTAACAATAATCGCAGTCCTATGCAGTTATAAGCTTTTGGGTCTCTCTCGATGTCAGTAATCCTCTGCTTTTAGTTTATTTCATCCATCAGTTTTTCCACCTACTTTTTTTTTTTTTTTAAGACAGGGCCTCACTGTTCAGTCCAGGCTGGCCTTGAAATCACTATATAGTCCAGGCTGATCACCCAAACTCACAGAGTGCTCCCTAGTGCTGGGATTCAACAGCAGCAGGCCTGGCTCCACCCACCTTCTAGTTTGCTATTTACAATCTGCTGGGGAAGGATGACCACTAACACATCACCAAAATTATGAAAAGTTCCCAGATAAATAAAAGTAAGCAAGCTTCAGATAGCAGGCTGATGCTCTTCTGTGGTGGTAAAGGACATTCTTCGGTTCTGTTGAGGCCTAACCGTTTTTATTTGCTGAGGCCCCTTCTTATTTTTTGGCTATCTTCCAGACAACTGGAGTTGCCAGATGTCAGATTTCTGCATCTAAACATTTTTTAAAAAAGGACCAAGCATAATATTTTACAAATCTCTTAGCCATTCTATGTTATTTCCTCTCACTGTCTAAGCACATGCCTCATTATCTAAACTAGTAGGTCAAGCCTCACCTAAGACCCACAGATTCCTTACACTTTAATCCTGTGGTCTGAAGGAGTTAACATTTCTTCTTGGCACCTTTGCGCTCTACCAGAAAATGACTCACAAGCAGAGGAGGATCTGGCTCAATAAATTCTTTCACTGACTGACCTCCTACTCAGCTGGAATGAGTGTGTGATAGCCAGGAAACACACACCCTAGAAGGGTACAGAAGTCACAGTCTCACAGAATGTGTGGTTCATGTGTGCGACCAGAAGGTGGGGCTTGACGTTGCTAGTTCACCTCTGTGCTGGATTCCGGATTCCACCTGAGTCTTTCCGGCCCTGTACACATGCTGAGAAGCAACTACTGTCACTCATGCAGGGGCCATTTTAGAAGCCTGAACTTGTATTTCGCAATTTAATCATTAGTGGCTTTTCTAAGCTTGTTTCATCAACTCCAGATGGAAGCAAAAAGAACTGCAGAGAAAACCAGAAGACAGATGGGCTGAGGGAAAGCAGGGGAGATGACTGCCCACATGGGAAGGGTGAGGGGCCTGGGAAAGGTGGGGAAACAAGCGCTTCTTCCCTGCTGGTGAATGCCTGTTTCCATCTTCTGAGATGCTCTACATTTGAAACATAAGTATCTTTGGAAAGATAATCCTCCAAACCTTTTTGGAATGTAAACTCTGAAGAGAGTTTTGTATGCAGTGTTCAGCAATGCCAGCCCAGTAAAGTTTCTTCATGATTTACTTACACAGAACCATAAGACACCATTCATGTAAATCCCTAGTTCTACTTATTTAAATTAAACTAAGTTTCTCTTAGGCACAGAGTTCGGGCTTCCCGCTTGTGGGTGCTGGATATCTGAACTCAGGTCTTCATGTTTGAGTGGTAAGCTCTTTACCAAATGAACCATGTTCCCAGGACTACAATGATTTTTTTAGTGTCTCAAGGATATTTTAACATTACAAAGGGCTTTAAAAAATTATGTGTATGTGTATGTATGGCTATGTGCACATGAGTGCAGGTACCTACAGAGACTGGATAGATAGGGTCTCACTATATAGCCCTGGTTGGCTTAGAACTTGCTGTATAGACCAGGCTGGCCTCAAACTCACAGAAATCCACCTGCTTCTGCCTCCTGAGTGCTGGGATTAAAGGCATTCACAACCACGCCCAGTGGTGAAACCTTCTTAAAGATTCAGCTTTTCTCTAAGGACATTCCAAGAATATTCCAGATGTATGGGAGATGGGATAGTCCTTGAGCCCAAGAAGCTTAGTTTAGTCACTCTCCGTTCCTCCCTTCCCAAACATGTCCTGAGGATGCTAATCTTGGTGATTCAAAATACAAGGGCACTGCCATCATTATGCACTCAAGGAAGGCCATGAACCATAGTCCCCTTTTAGAGGGACACAAAAACATTAGTCTATTAAGACCAAGGCGATCTGGCCAAGAATTGGCTTTAATTCTGTGTCTTTAAACTTGTCTGGGGCTGATAAGATGGTTCAGCAGTTGGAGTGCTTGCTGGTCTTGCAGAGGATTGGAATTCGGATTCCATCACCCCTAGAAG